ATTCTTGTTTCGTCTGTTGGGCCTTCAGTAGATTTTTTGTTCTTTACTTCGATTAATAGATGTTCTTGACTTTCTTTTAAATCATCAGCCAGATGATGATGATGATTATTATTGTTATTATCTACTGAGAGCTAAACCCTACAAAAGTGCAGGAATTTATTGATCGGCTTCCAATCTGCGAACTAACATCCTCTAAATATTCTGCTCAGGAGTAATCAAGGCTGAATTCTTACTCTGGAAATTGGGGAGACTGCTCTAGTGAGATTCACTCCCCAATATTACAGATGGGAAGTTAATGTTGCATATTCCATTTATTAATGGAATCAAGCTAGCAAGCTGGCAATAATTTAGGGAATCTGCACATAAATAAGGCCCAGAATCTAGTTAATTATGAAAAGCTAAGCAAGGTCAAGTCTTCAACTTTCACTTGCAAAACTAAGCATTCATGAGTTGTCCTGCACTCCCCAAGACAAAAAACTGGCTGGAGCAATCTTCACCAATCCTTAAAGGAGAAATGCTTTGACTGCTGTAGGTATATAGTCCGTCCTCCCGCCTTTCCCTCGCTGTAGTTCTCACTTCTTGCATGGGAAGCTTCTTGCTTTATTTCTGTGGCGAGGCCTGAATCCACAACCTAGGATAATCATCATGGAGAAAGTCTGTCAATGTGATCTCATCACTGGAGTCGACTTGACGAAGCATAATAAAAAAAATTATTGTTACTGCCTTATGTAGAGACAGAACATTCTGCTTTAGGTCACTAGATGGCGCACCATAGATAAGCAAGGGCCGCGCTAGACAACTTTCACTGCAAGTAGAGCATCGGTAATTGAGGCCAAAGGAGTTGAAACATTTGAACGGTAGATTCCTAGAGAGGATTTGGAGGAGAGGAGAACAACAGCAGGAGAGCTTCCTCTTCCGGCTCTCCGCTGAGAGGTTGGAGGTGGGGAGGGTGGCTCTCCTGGTCTTCCCAGGGTGGAAGCAGCAGCTGAAAGGTGAGCTGCTGCGGACAGGTGGAGGAGAGGCCAGAAGCAAGTAGGGCTGTTTGGGTTTCCCTAGGGTGTAAAAACAGAGAAGCAACGAGGCTGAAACATGTCAGCTGTTACATCTTCCTTCCTTCCTTCCCCGGATTTTATCCCACTGGTGGTGCATGCTTTAAAACTGGTACCTGCATTTTTCTGTGTGTTGGGAGATTTTTTCCAGTCTCCTCCCTATTAGGGTTGATTCCTTGTAATTTTATGGGCGTGTTCTTTTCTTGGCAACAATTTGAAACTGATCTGCCAGTGCTGTCTTCAGGAATTTTGTTTTTACTTCCATATCTAGCAAACACAGGATTTCCTGATAGTGTGCCATCCATGGATTAATGTGACACAACTGTGCTTAACCCATTTTTTTTTTAAAGTTATTGAGCCTATTTAGGATGTTCGGATTTATAGTGCTGAAAATACTTTAATGTATTTCTCAAAGTTGTGGCTGTAACAGTTATGTGGGGGGTAAAACTGGCTTGATTTACAATGGTTGAGGTGTACCACAGTCATGGACTCACCACTTTTAACAGATTAACAGCGTTGGAAGGGACCTTATAGGTCATCTAGTGCAAAACACACAGACATCGCTCGAGCAGGAGACCTTACTCCATTTCTGACAAATGGCAGTCCAATATCTTCTTGAAAGTCTCAGGTGATGAAGCCCCCACAAAGCCCGCACAACTACTGAAGGAAGCTGTTCCATTGGTTGATTGTTCCAACTGTCAGAAAGCTCCTTATTTCTAGGTTGAATCTCTCCTTGGTCAGTTTCCATCCATTATTCCTTGTCTGGCTTTCAGGTGCTTTGGAAAATAGCTTGACCCCCCTGCTCTCTGTGGCAACTCCTCAAATATTGGAACACTGCTATAATGCCTTCCCTGGTCTTTCTCTTCACTAGATTAGCAATGCATAGTTCTTGTAATTGTTCTTCAAATGTTCTAGTCTCCAGTCCCACTAATCATCCTGGTTAATCTTTTCTGCACTTTTTCTAGTCTCAACATCTTTTTTATACTGTGGTGATGAAAACTGGATGCAGTACTCTAGGTGTGGTCTTACTAGGGCTTTATAGAGTGGTGTTAGTACCTCACTTGATCTTGATTGTATCTCTCTTGTTAATGCAATTTAGGATTGCATTGGCTTTTTTGGCTGCCACTGCATACTGCTGGCTCATATTTAGCTGGTTGTCCACTAAGACTCCAAGATCCTTCTCACAGTTACTGCTATTAAGCTTGATTTCACCCAGTTTATATGTGTACTTTTGGTTGTTCTTACCTAAGTGTAGGGTTACTTTACTTTTCTCTACATTGAATTGCATTTTGTTAAATAGGGCTCAGTGTTCAAGTCTGTCAAGGTCCAGCTGGATCTTGAGTCTATCTTCTAGGCTGTTAGCTATTCCTGCCAGCTTGGTATCATCTGCAAATTTGGTAAGTTCCCCTTCTATTCCCTCATCTAAGTCGTTTATGAAGATATTGAAGAATATTAGGCCTAAGACAGAACCTTGTGGTACCCCACTGCTTACTTCTCTCCATGTAGACATTGACCCATTAAGGACTACTCATTAAGTATGGTTTGTCAGCCAGTTGCGAATCCATCTGGTGGTATTGCTATCTATCTCACTTTTTTCTAGCTTACGGAGAAGTAGGTTGTGTTCTACTTTGTCAAATGCCTTGCTTTATGTCCACAGTATTTCGCTGGTCAATTTAGTCACTATGTTGAAGAAAGAAATAAGATTGGTTTGGCATGATCTGTTTTTGACAAAACTGTGCTGGCTGCTAGTTATTACTTTACTCGTTTCTAGGTGTTGAGAGATCTGGTTTTTTTAAAAATCTTTTCCAGTATCTTCCCGGGTATTGATGTTAGGCTGATTGATCTGTAGTTTCCTGGGTCTGTTTTTCCCCCCCTTTTTTGAAGATGGGAACCACATCAGCTCTTTTCCAGTCCTCTGGTAGTTCCCCGGTGTTCCAGGATTTTTGAAAGATGTGGTGCAGTGGTTCTGAGATGACATCTGCCAACTCCTTTACAATTCTGGGATGTTATCCATCAGGTCCTTGTGATTCGTATTCATCAAGATCAAGCAGGTGTTCTCTTAATGTTTTTTTTTTTTTTTTTTGCTTTTTATTTTCAGTCTGTTATGTTTCTGGTAGGTTGGGCTATAGCTTCTTTTTGCATGAACACACTTGGAACATTCACAACTGACTTCTAACAAACGAAATGAATTGGAAATTGAAAGGAAATTGCAAGTCACAGTCATGTTACACTGCACTGAGCAGACCACGGTGATTCACTTAATGACACAAGTAGAACAAATGTAAGTTGGCATGGTTAAATGATGGCATAGTTAATGATCACGCCGTTTAGGAATGGACTTGCTGGTCCCAATGGCTTTCGGTAAGTGAGGATTACCTGAATTGGGTTGAATTTGTGATTGATCTAAGTCAACAAGTAAATTGAGTGGGTATTTGAACTTAGATCTCACTAGACATGCATATTGAAAATGAATCATACTTAATGTAAGTGGTTAAAATAGCATTTTGGCATCTTTGGCATATTTTGGCATGTAATATACATGCTTTTTGTTTTTGTTTATTTCAAATGTTGTATAGCCATTATGTAAAAAACAATTAAAGTAACCCTTTTATGTGAATCTTACAGGCAAAAGAATGCCATAGAGAGCACTGTGGAGAACTGAAAATCACAGGCAGCATTAAAATGCAAAGCAAACCAAGGCAGCAATCAAAATCTTTTTACTTCCTCCGGAAAACTCCAAAACTCTTCTTCTTCCCCAGCAGGTGACATACAAGGAAGAGAAAACTAGGAAATGAGTTTTGAGCTAGACAAAATAGAGTATGTGGAAGAAACATATCAAAATATCAAGAGGGATCATTTCATAGTTCAGAAAAAGAGGGAAATAGCTGAAAGTCAGTAGAAAGGAAAAAGGTCACTTGGATAGCCACATAAGGCAGATCAGAATACAGGCTTCACCCGGTGAGGAAACAAATAGTAGCTTGAATCAAAGCTCCATCCAACAAGGAATTCAGAGTATTTTTGATGTCCTTAAGAATCCAAGAATGTCAGTGGTGGAAAAGATCCACAGATGTGCCTATTGTGGGGAAAGTGCAGATTGTAGATCACAGCTGATTATGCATGAGAGGATCCACACTGGAGAAAAGCCATATCAATCCTCCCAATACAGCAGAAGCTTTGGTCAGAATAGCTTCCCAGTTGTTCATGAGAGGACTACTCCCACCAAAGAGGAGCCATACCAGTGCTCACGATGCAGCAAAAGCTCTAGTGAGCAGGGCAAGCTGATAATACACCAGAGGACTCATACTGTGGAGAAACCGTTTGAGTGTCCAGATTGTGGGAAAGGTTTCAGTCAAAATTCCTACCTGGTGATACACAAGAGGATTCATACTGGGGAGAAACCTTATAAGTGTCTGGTTTGTGAGAAAAGTTTCAATCGGAATTTTGAACTGGTGATACACCAGAGGACTCACACAGGAGAGAAACCATATGAATGCCCAGCTTGTGGAAAAAGTTTCAGTCAGAATTCCAACCTGGTGATACACCAGACAACACACACAGGAGAGAAACCATATGAATGTCCAGTTTGTGGGAAAAAATTTCGTCGGAATTCCCACATGATGATACACCAGAAGACTCACACAGGAGAGAAACCGTATGAGTGTCCAGATTGTGGAATAAGTTTCAGCCAGAATTCTGATTTGGTGAGACACCAGAGAATTCACACAGGAGAGAAACCATATGAATGTCCAGACTGTGGGAAAAATTTCAGTCGAAATTCCAGCCTGGCAATACACCAGAGGACTCACACAGGAGAGAAAGCATATGAGTGTCCAGAATGTGGGAAAAGTTTCAGTCAGAATTCTCATCTGATGACACACAAGAAGATTCATAAAGGAGAGAAACCATATGAGTGTAGAGATTGCGGGAAAAGATTCTTTCGGAATTCAGACCTGGTGATACACGAGAGAAGTCACACAGGAGAGAAACCATATGAGTGTCCAGATTGTGGGAAAGATTTTAGCACTAGGTCTAGTCTTATAAATCATGTAGGTATACATACAGGGGAGAAACCATTCAAATGCCTGGAATGTGGACGGTGTTTCACAAAAAATTCTTCCCTTACTGCGCACAAGAAAATCCACATGATGCAGGAAATGATAAGTTTAGAGAAGTCTTGAAATTCATTTCTAGTATCCTAGTCAAGATGAAAAACTGATTACTGACTCTGTGGCCTGATTCTTTTAGCCAAATGTCCCATATCAAAGATGAATGCAACCCCCCCCCCCCCCAAACATTAGTTCGATAAAGGCGAACAATACATATCTGGCCATCAGCAGAAGTAACTGTATATTTACGTTAGCAGAAATGGTGCAATTTGCAAATTGGGCAGTATAGAACATAGAAACGTAACATTCAGAGTTTCATCCTTCTGCACCCTGGGTGTCTCCAGATTTTGAGGCCAGAATTTTCCAGCCACCGTATCCTTTGCACAAAATGTCTATGAGTCATAAGCAAGATTTCTAAGTAATCCCAGTTAGCTGCTGAAGCTTCTAAAGAATACATTGTAAAAAAAATACACACATGTGGTTGTAGCTTGAGCAGAAGCATTGTGATTTTGAGTACAGGGTTCTTCATTAACAATGCCTGCTTTGATCTTTCTTTTCTTGAAGTGCCTGCTTGTTACCCCAGCACCCCAGCATTAAGATGCTGTCTTGTTTGTTGCAACTGCC